GTAAGGAGCACCACTTACAGGAACACGGTAAGGAGCACCACTTACAGGAACACGGTAAGGAGCTCCACTTACAGGAACACGGTAAGGAGCACCACTTACAGGAACACGGTAAGGAGCACCACTTACAGGAACACGGTAAGGAGCACCACTTACAGAAACAGGGTAAGGAGCACCACTTCAGGAACACGGTAAGGAGCACCACTTACAGGAACACTTACCAAGGCTTGCAAGAGAGGGAGCAAGTCGTCCTCTCACTCGTCAAATCTTTAACCCGCCTGAGAGCAACATGGCCTGAGGGAGTTGCCAGCGAGTGTTATACCCATATTGATCAGCTGTTGCCCCAAGCCTGCCTCCAGGTTGCTTGTTTGCTGGCCGTGTTTGGCCCTGTTTGTCTCCGCTTGTTTGCCTTTTGTGTGTGTGGATATTTGCCGTTGTTGCGCTTTTCCCCTTACCAGACCTTTGTGTGTGTGTGTTTACCTACATATGCTCTGTTTCCTGTGATTGTGTGTTTGTTGATGTTGCTGAGGCGTTGTTTGTTGATTGTGCAGTTGTGGTGTTTGGTGTGTGATTGTTGCTTCACTCTGAGCTCTATGGAGCGGCTCCGGGCCTGTAGATTACCTTTGTCGCGATCTTCAGTGTTTGCGGTGTTTTAATATGTCAAGAATAGCGAAACGAGAAGGCCAAACTTCCTTCATCTCTCAAATATATAAAAAGCATTAAAAAGTATACCAAAAATATTAAAATAGATACATAAAAGCATTAAAAAGCATACATGATAGCATTAAAAACACAAAAACATTAAAAAGCATAAAAACACACACAAAAAGTAATAAAAGTCAAAAATCCACCAAAAAAGGTTAGGAAATCAAATATAGTGTTGATGTTTGCGTCAAGAATCTCTTCATCTCCAAGTGGAAGAGAATTATCGTACATCAAAACAAACGGCCGCGTCATAAATATTGCTGTCCTCTTTATTGCTGAAATATTTTTAATACATAAAATACAAAGCGTGTATTAATATCGCCGTGCACTTCATAATAACAAAATATTGTCCTGTTACCCCTAAAAAAAGGGGGGGGGGGAGAGGAGGAGGGGGGTTGTATTAACAAAATATATATCACGCATTAATACAACGCTGCATTTGCCTATTTTATAAATTGCGTTCAATCCAGCATCCATCAGTTGAAAGTGTGTGTGTGTGTGTGTGTGTGTGTGTGTGTGTGTGTGTGTGTGTGTGTGTGTGTGTGTGTGTGTGTGTGTGTATATACGTGTGTATACGTGTGTATACATTGCAATTTGAATACAACTGAGGCAAGAACATATACATAGTGAAACAGAGTTCATTATCTATTAACTCATTTAGGCTGTTTGAACTCGCAGGGAGGCTTTATCTAAACAGTATCAGAACATGTAATTAAAACATTCAAACTTAATTATGCGTCTGGCAGTGCTGGCAGCTTTGATGCCGGCCCGCTCAATCTGGTTGGGGGGAGCGGCGGCGCACGCGATACTCGCCCTCGGACCCGCACGCAGTGAGGGTGTTAATCCTCTGCGCCGTCGTGGCGGTTTTAAAAAAAGAAATGCTATGTTGAGCAAGGTTTGTATACAGTCGTGCGTATGTTTGTATGTCTGGGTATATGGTTGGTATTAAAGGGGTGTTCGCTTGTTGATAAATGTTATTGGATGAGGGGGCTGGGTGATGCTTAGTGGTAATTAATAGTTTAATTTTTGGTTTTTAGGTGGGTGGAATGCTTTAGGCTGTGATGTGGTGGAGGCTGACTCCATACACACACACCACCACCACTACACACTCACCACCCACACACTCACCACCCCCACACTCACCACCCCCACACTCACCACCCCACACTCACCACCCCACACTCACCACCCCCACACTCACCACCCCCACACTCACCACCCCCACACTCACCACCCCCACACTCACCACCCCACACTCACCACCCCACACTCACCACCCCACACTCACCACCCCCCACACTCACCACCCCCACACACTCACCACCCCACACTCACCACCCCATACTCACCCCACCACACTCACCACCCACACACTCACCACCACACACTCACCACCCCACACTCACCACCCCCACACTCACCACCCCACACTCACCACCACCACACCACCCCACACTCACCCACCACCACACTCACCACCCACACACACCACCACACACACACCACCACCATACTCGCCACCCCCACACTCACCACCCCCACACTCACCACCCCCACACTCACCACCCCACACTCACCACCCCACACTCACCACCCCACACTCACCACCCCCCACTCTCACCACCCCCACACTCACCACCCCACACACTCACCACCCCACACTCACCACCCCCACACTCACCACCCCCACACTCACCACCCCCACACTCACCAGCCCCACACTCACCACCCACCCCACACTCACCACCCCACACTCACCACCCCACACTCACCACCCCCACACTCACCACCCCCACACTCACCACCCCCACACTCACCACCCCCACACTCACCACCCCACACACTCACCACCCCACACACTCACCACCCACACCACCCACACTCACCACCCCCACACTCACCACCCCCACACTCACCACCCACACCTCACCACCCCCACACTCACCACCCCCACACTCACCACCCCCACACTCACCACCCCCACACTCACCACCCCACACACTCACCACCCCCACACTCACCACCCCACACACTCACCACCCACACACCCCACACACACACTCACCCCCACACTCACCACCCCCACACTCACCACCCACACACTCACCACCCACACACTCACCACCCCACACTCACCACCCCCACACTCACCACCCCCACACTCACCACCCACACACTCACCACCCCACACCTCACCACCCACACACTCACCACCCCCACACTCACCACCCCACACTCACCACCCCACACTCACCACCCACACACTCACCACCCCCACACTCACCACCCCCACACACCACTCACCACCACACACACTCACCACCCCACACACTCACCACCCCCCACACACTCACCACCCCCCCCACACTCACCACCCCACACACTCACCACCCCCACTCACCACCACCCACACTCACCACCCCCACACTCACCACCCCCACACACTCACCACCCCCACACTCACCACCCACACTCACCACCCCACACTCACCACCCACACACTCACCACCCACACTCACCACCCCACACACTCACCACCCCACACACTCACCACCCCTCACCACCCACACCACCACCACACACTCACCACCCCACACACTCACCACCCACACACTCACCACCCCACACACTCACCACCCACACACTCACCACCCACCACACACACCACCACCCCACACTCACCACCCCACACTCACCACCCTCACACACTCACCACCCCACACACTCACCACCCCACACTCACCACCCACACACTCACCACCCACACACTCACCACCCCACACACTCACCACCCCACACTCACCACCCCCACACTCACCACCCACACACTCACCACCCCACACACTCACCACCCCACCACACTCACCACCCCCACACTCACCACCCCCACACTCACCACCCCAACACTCACCACCCTCCCACACTCACCACCCCACACTCACCACCCCACACTCACCACCACCCCACACCACTCACCACCCCCACACCACACTCACCACCCCACACACACCCACCACCCCACACCTCACCACCCCACACACTCACCACCCCACACTCACCACCCCACACTCACCACCCCACCCTCACCACCCCACACACTCACCACCCCACACACCACCCCCACACTCACCACCACCCCACACCCTCACCACCCCCCACACTCACCACCCCAACACTCACCACCCCCCACACTCACCACCCCACACACTCACCACCCTCACCACACACTCACCACCCCACACTCACCACACCTCACCCCCCACACTCACCACCCCACACACTCACCACCCCACACACTCACCACCCCACACACTCACCACCCTCACCACACCACCACCCCACACACTCACCACCCCCCACACTCACCACCCCACACTCACCACCCCCACACTCACACTCACCACCCCACCACACTCACCACCCCCACACTCACCACCCCCACACTCACCACCCCACACACTCACCACCCCAACACTCACCACCCCACACTCACCACCCCACACACTCACCACCCCCCACACTCACCACCCCACACACTCACCACCCCACACACTCACCACCCCACCACACTCACCACCCCCACACTCACCACCCCACACTCACCACCCCACACACTCACCACCCCACACACTCACCACCCCTACACTCACCACCCCCACACTCACCACCCCCACACTCACCACCCCCACACTCACCACCCCCACACTCACCACCCCCCACACTCACCACCCCCACACTCACCACCCCCACACTCACCACCCCACACACCACCACCCCCACACTCACCACCCCACACTCACCACCCCCACACTCACCACCCCCACACTCACCACCCCCCACACTCACCACCCCACACTCTCACCACCCCCACACTCACCACCCCCACACTCACCACCCCCACACTCACCACCCCCACACTCACCACCCCACACTCACCACCCCCACACTCACCACCCCCACACTCACCACCCCACACACTCACCACCCCCACACTCACCACCCCCACACTCACCACCCCCACACTCACCACCCCCCACACTCACCACCCCCACACTCACCACCCCCACACTCACCACCCCACACTCACCACCCCCACACTCACCACCCCACACACTCACCACCCCACACTCACCACCCCACACTCACCACCCCACACTCACCACCCCACACTCACCACCCCCACACACTCACCACCCCACACTCACCACCCCCACACTCACCACCACTCACCACCCCACACTCACCACCCCCACACTCACCACCCCACACTCACCACCCCCACACTCACCACCCCACAC